GGTCAGCAGAAAAAATAAACAGTGGAGGTATGATTGCAAGAACATTGTTGCACAACAACCCTGTTAGGTCAGCCACGGTGGGAACAACTGAGCCAGTTAGGCAATCGTATGGCTGCATGGGGGTTTGAGTTTTTCTTTCTTGAGGTCTGGAGCCTTTGTTGGCCGAGTGTGAATTCCATCTCTATTTATCCTGCTAAAATGGCAAGCGAAAAATAGCGTTGCGTTTTTTCATTGCGTGGCTGGGCTGAAGGTTGAAAAAATAGGGTCGTCCTTGACTTACATGATCATTTTTCATACTTACGACCATCGCATGGCCCGTGTGATCCAAATTCAGACGCTGACTCGTATTTATGACGGTCGCAGTGTTCCCTTTTTGTGACTGACTTGACAAGCAAAGTCAAAGGGGGAAGCAGGACTCACTTAACAACCATGTGGCTAATTTAACCGCTGCGGCGATTTGCTTAACAACCGTGGTCGTAAAATGGGGCGTAACACAGTTAACGACTGTCTCGCTGAGCCACAGGAATTTTGCACTCCAGTGTGGTCGTCGTAAAATGGGGCGTAACTCAGTTAACGACTGTCTCGCTGAGCCACAGAAATTTTGCACTCCAGTGTGGTCGTCGTAAAATGGGGCGTAACTCAGTTAACGACTGTCTCGCTGAGCCACAGAAAATTTTGCACTCCATTGTGGTCGTCGTAAAATGGGGCGTAACTCAGTTAACGACTGTCTCGCTGAGCCACAGAAATTTTGCACTCCAGTGTGGTCGTCGTAAAATGGGGCGTAACTCAGTTAACGACTGTCTCGCTGAGCCACAGAAATTTTGCACTCCATTGTGGTCGTAAGTCGAGGACCGTTCTGTACGGGGAGTGAAGATAACATGTGTTTTCTCCCCTTGAGTCTCTCTTTTATGCAAGACGGCGTCGGGTGCAAATTTTGTGGGTTTCGGTTAATGGTTGTATTGCTGTGTATAAATCAACAGTCATGGGCTGGTACCTTTTTGGGGTTCTGAGTTGTGTACGGCTTATTTGTGGTCCCCTCGCTTGTTTGGGGCCGGTGTATTCCCCACAGAGGTTACTACCGTCCTTAGGGAAGGTGTAAAGGAGATGCACACTTAGGTGCGTGCAAACCACACGCGTGCAAAAATAGAAGTGGGTTTTTGCATCCGGCAGCTTCTTCTGCCTGGGACTTGAATTCGTCACTGGTGCCGGAGAACTGTTAGATACCGGTAGTCCTCGACTTACAGAAGTGCGTCCCAAATTTCCGTTTCCTAAGTGAGATGGTCATTAAGTGAGTTTTGCCCCATTTAATGGCCTTTCTTGCCACCGTTGTTAAGTGAATCACCGCAGTCGTTAAGTGAGTAGCACGGTTGTTAAGCGAATCCGGCTTCTGTGTTGACTTGGCTGGTTGCCAAAGGGGATCATGTGACCTCCGGGAATACTGCCACCGTCGTAAATATGAGTCAGCTGCCAAGGAATTTTGATCTCGTGAACGTGGGAATGCTGCAAAGGTCGTAAGTGCGAAAAATGGCCATAAGTCACTTTTTCCAGGGCCGTCGTAACTTTGAATGGTCACTAAATGAACTGTTGTAAGGCGAGGAGAAATCTGTGTTATTCAAAGCTTGCCTGTTTGTCCAAAAAGCTGGGAAAATATTTTTGTGGGTCTTGAGAGCAGTGTGACTTTTAGTCACTTTTAACACTAAAGAAACCCTTTATGTACTGCTAAAACTCTTGTGACTTTTAATTGCATTAAATTAATGCAAAAACGGTGCATTCTAGGGTTACTGTTTTTGAACCCAGGCCCCGCCTCAAATGGGCTGATTTAGGGCATAGGTCCACAATCTGGGGCGCAGGAGTCCCGAGGGAATGAAAATGTGGGAATGTTGTAGCTGCTGGTTGCCGTTGGGATCGTGTGATCTGTATTGTCAATATTCTGTGACAGTTTCCCAGCCACTCTAGCAATCCCTTGCTCTTTCAGCTTCCCACTTAGGGAAGAGGAGGGGAGGGGAGGGGAAGGAAGTAGGGTGGAAGGAAGAAAGGAAGGTTAGGAGAGAAAGAACAATTAGGAACAGGAAGGGAGGAAGATGAGAAAGGAAAAAGAAGAGGGGAGGGAGGGAGGAAGGAAAGATAGGAAAGAAGAAAGCAAGGGAGGGAGGAAGATGACAAAGGAAAAAGGGAAGGGGGGGAGGGAGGAAGGAAGGAAAAAGGAAAAAGGAAAAAGAGAGGGGAGGGGAGGAAAGTAGGGTGGAAGGAAGGAAGGAAGTTTAGGAGAGAAAGAACAATTAGAAACAGGAAGGGAGAAAGATGAGAAAGAAAAAAGAAGAGGGGAGGGAGGAAGGAAGGAAAGATAGGAAAGAAGAAAGCAAGGGAGGGAGGGAGGAAGATGACAAAGGAAAAAGGGAAGGGAGGGAGGAAGGGAGGGAGGGAGGAAGGAAGGAAAAAGGAAAAATGCAAGGGAGGGGAGGGAAGTAGGTTGGACGGAAGGAAGTTTAGGAGAGAAAGAATGATTAGGAACAGGAAGGGAGGAAGATGAGAAAGGAAAAAGAAGAGAGGAGGGAGGGAGGAAGGAAGGAAGGAAAAAGGAAAAAGGGAGGGGAGGGAAGTAGGGTGGAAGGAAGGAAGTTTAGGAGAGAAAATGATTAGGAAAAGGAAGGAAGGAAGATGAGAAAGGAAAAAAGAAGAAGAGAGGAGGGAGGGAGGGAGGGAGGAAGAAAGAAAGGAAGGAAGGAAGAAAGGAAGCTTAGGAGAGAAAGAAAGAACGATTAGGAGAAGGAAAGAAGGAAGGAAGATGAAATTCTGTTGCCCTGCTTCAATAAAGAAGTAGCCCCCTTGACGTGAACATACTGGTGGCAGTGAGTTCCCCAGGTCAATAAAGTGCTGGGTGAAGAATAGAATAGAATAACCAGAGTTGGAAGGGACCTTGGAGGTCTTCTAGTCTAACCCCCTGCTTAGGCAAGAAACCCCTTCCTTCCTGACCGCCCTTTGACTTCCCCAATTCCTAACTGGGTGAGAGGTTAGAATAGATCCATATTTTGTGCGCTTTTTAAAATTATGGATTTTTCTTCTTTTTTTAAGTGGGATTTCTCGCCAAGCTAAAAAGTCCCAGGCTCTGTGGCCTGTTTTGTGGGTGGGTGGGTGGAAGAGGAGGGGGGGGTTTCCCTCTGGGCTTCCCGTCGGTAGCCAACCACTGCCCAGCTGTGCCCGTGACGTCACGGGGATTCCCCCTTCCTGAGCCAAGCTGGGAAGTTGGGCTTCCACGCGGGCGCCCCCCCCCGACACGCGGGATTCCCGTGGATAGGAGAAGGGCGGAGGTCCTTGGAAGGGTGGCGGGGGGGGGTTATCCCGCCAGTCCCCCCCTCTTGGCTCTTCTTCTTCAAGCCCCCTCCCTCTCCCCTCCCCCGTTTTAGGAGTTCCTGCTCCGAGGCACTAACCAGTGCCTGGTTTACAAACGGTCGTAGAACGGGACAGCCTTGCCAGGCTGGCAGCGAGCGGTGGGCACCGGGCTGGCTTTGCCCCCCCCCACTTTTCTTGATCCCGCCCAGAGCTCGCTCCCTTGCCCCCTCCTGCCTGGTGTTCCAAATGGGGGGGTCACTCCAACAGGGGTGTCCTCCCTACCTCCCCCAAAGTCGTACCCCTCCCGCGGCTGCAGAAATCGGGTGGGGGGCTTTGCTTCCTCCTCCATTTCTTTCCTCTTCTTCCTTCTCCCCTCCTTCTCCTCCCTCTCCTGTTCCTCTTCTTCCCACCCTCTCTTTCTCCTTCTCTTCCCCCTCCTCCTTCCTTTTCTTTCTCCCCTCCTCCTCTTTCTCCACCGTCCTCCCCTCCTCTTTCTCCTCCTTTTTCTCTTTCTCCTCCACCTCCACTCTTCTTCCTCGTTCTCGTCTTTCTCCTTTCTCCCCTCTTCCTCCTCGTCTTCCTTCTTTTCCTTCTCTTCCACATCTTCCTCCTTCTCCCCCTCCTCTTCCTCTTCTGTCGTCCTCTTCCTCCTCCTCCTCCCCCGTATCTCTCCTTTTTCTCTTCCTCTCTTCCTTTTCTTCCTCCTCCTCTTCCTCCTTCTCCCTCTCCTCTTCCACTTTCGTCCTCCTCTTCCTTTTTCTCCTCTTCCTCTTCTTCTTTCTCCACTTCGTCTTTCTTTCTCCTCGCTCTCCTCTTCCTTTTTCTCCTCTTCCTTCTCCTCTTCCTCTTCTTCCTCCTCCCTTTCCTCTTCCTCTTCTTTCTTCCTGCTCTGCCTTCCCTTCCTCCTATTCTCTTCTTCCTCTTCCATCTCCTCTTCATTTTCTTCCTTCATCCTCCTCTTCTTCCTCCTCTCTTCTTCCTCTTCTTCCTTCCTCCTCCTCCTCCTCCTCTCTTCCTGCTCTTCCTTCCCCACTTTGTCTTCTTCCTTCGTCCTCCTTCTTCCCTTCCTCTTCCTCTTCCTCCTTCTCTTGTTCCTCTTCTTCCTCCTTCTCCTCCTCTTCCTTTTTCTCCTCTTCCGTCTCCTCTTCATTTTCTGCCTTCGTCCTCCTCTTCCTTCCCCACTTTGTCTTCTTCCTTCGTCCTCCTCCTTCCCTTCCTCTTCCTCCTTCTCCTCTTCTTCCTCTTCCCTTTCCTCTTCCTCTTCTTTCTTCCTGCTCCTCCTTCCCTTCCTCCTCTTCTCTTCTTCCTCTTCCATCTCCTCTTCATTTTCTTCCTTCGTCATCCTCTTCCTCCTCCTCTCTTCTTCCTTCCTCCTCTTCCTCCTCTCGTCCTCCTCCTTCCCTTCCTCTTCCCCCTTCTCCTCTTTTTCCTCTTCTTCCTCCTTCTCCTCCTCTTCCTTTTTCTCCTCTTCCGTCTCCTCTTCATTTTCTGCCTTCGTCCTCCTCTTCCTTCCCCACTTCGTCTTCTTCCTTCGTCCTCCTCCTTCCCTTCCTCTTCCTCCTTCTCCTCTTCTTCTTCCTCCTCCTCCTTCTCCTCCCAGGCCCCCTCCCCAGCCCAGGCTTCCTCTGGGGGGTGGCCCCTCTGCCTGGGGGCAGCCTCCCCCTTCCCAGGCCCTCCCCCAGGGGCTGCCCCTTCCCCTCCCTCCCTCCCTCCCCTGCGCGGGCTCGTCCCCCTGGGAGGCAGCAGGCGAGGCTGTGCCACTTCCTGTTCGCCTGGCTGAGAGCGGTGGGGCAGCGGCTGCCAAGTCGGAGGTGGCAAGCAGGAAGGCAGGCAAGGCGGGGGAAGGGGTCTCCCAGGCCCGCCTCCTCCACCAAGGGACCACGACCCCCACCCACCCCCAGCCAGCCCGGCCAGACGGCCTGCCCTCCTCGCTGGCCACTGCCCAGCCATGGCCCCCTTCCCGGCCTGTGGGCAGCGCCCTGCCGGCCGGGAAGGACCCCCCTGCGCCCCCTCCCCGAATTAGAGGACCCCCCATCGCAGCCCAACCCCTGGCGGGCATGGAGGAGGAGGAGGAGGCCGCCTTGGGCTTCTTAGACCGAGTCTTGCAAGAAGAGGAGGAGGAGGAAGAAGAAGAAGGGGGCACCGGCGTTGGCAGAGCGCAGGTGGGCATTGGGGAAGAAAGGGGGAGGGGGTCTTTGAGAATCAGCCTTGGGGAGGGGGATGACTTCATCTCTTTCAGTCTGATCTCCATCCTCCCCCTCCCCAAACCAGGAGAAGAAGGAGAGACGGCGGGGTCTGCCAAGGGGGCACAGGGTGGCACCGGCTGCCCAGGTGGGAGTGGGCGAGGCTGGCATTTGGAGGGGGGAGGGTCTGCTGGCAGATTCCCTAGGGAGGGTGCACGGGGGGGGTGTTTAGGGTCTGCTTTGGGGGCAAGCAGGAGGTCCTAAGCTCCCTCCCTCCCCCTCCCCTTTATTTGCTTCTGCAAGGCTCCTTCTGGAAGCCACTCTGTGCATGGGCAGAGGTCACCTTGGGAAACCGCAGGCAGATCTGGACACATGGAAATGTTGCCTTCTCCTCATCTCTCCCCCCCTCTCCAACTTCCAGAGAAAGTTTTTTGGAGGTCCCCATTGTCGTTGTCGTTGTCGTTTTTTTGTTGGTCTGGTTCAGCTGTGTTTAAATTGCGTTGCTCCAACGGGGTTTAATTAATCTGGGTTTATATCGGGTCTGGGGCGTAGCAGGTTCTTACCAAGCGAGCCTCGGGGGGGGTGAGTTTGGGGGGAGAATTGTGGTGGGGGGGCAGGGTTTGTGTTTTGTGTGTTTAGGCGTGTGTGTGCGTGTGAGAAAAAGGAGATCCGTGCCGTTTTCACTGGACATCTTCATTTCCACTTCCCTGTTTTAGGAATTTAAAAAGTTTGCATTACGGGAATCGAACCGCCGATATCCTTTCGGTTTGAAATGAGACAAAAGTAAAATAATAATAATAATAATAATATCCCTTTTTTTTTTTCTTGTGTAACTTCCTTTCGTCTCTCCAAATCTCTCCACACTCCCCAAACAAAAAGAGAAAAAGGGAGTTTTGCATTAGGATCAGAACAGGGCGCCTCTGAGCATAGGCGGACTGCTTTCTTTCCTTCCTAAGAGCGTGGCGTGGCAAGGGCCCTCCAAAGGCATCTAGTCCAACCTCGGATAACCCCCTCCTCTTTCCTATTCAATCATGGCAGCCTTTTGGAATGACCCCCTCAGTGGCGTAAGAAGCAAGTAGGGGGTAGTCCTCAATTTACAACAGTAAAACAGTGCGTCGTGCCGGTCATTAAGCGAGTCAGCAGGCTGCCGTGCCTGATTTGTTTTGCTTATTGAAATTTATCGGATGTCCGTCTTATCTCAAGGTAGATTTCATTTTATAACCTTTTTACAGCGGTTGTTAAGCGAAAACCATGGTCGTTAAATGAATCCGTTGTCCACAGGGAGGCAGTTTGGGCCGGAAACTGGAAGTACAAATAGATAGTTCTCAACGTACGACCACAATTGAGCCCAAAATTTATGTTGTTAAGTGATAAATTTGTTAAGTGAGCTTGCTCCGTTTTACGACTTTTCTCGCCTTGTGTGTGTTAAGTGAATCCCTGCAGGTCTTAAATTAGTAACATGGTCGTTAAGTGAATCTGGCTTCCCCATTGACTTTGATCGTCACAAAAGGAGATCACGCGACACCCCCCCCCGGGACACCTGCAACCATCGTAAATGTGAGTCAGTTGTCAAATCATCCGAATGTAAATCACGTGACCATGGCAATGGTGCAAAGGTCATAAGTGTGAAACGTGGTCGTAACTCCCGACTTTTTTTCAGGGCCGTTGTAACTTTGAAAGGTCACTAAATGAACTGTTGTAAGTCAAAGGCTACCAACAAAAAAATAAATTAATCATAAATTGCATCATGTGACTGCCATTATGGCGGTTGTTAAGCAAACATGGTCATTAAGCGAAACCAATGTTTTGCTATGGGGCATTTTGGGTGAATATAGGAAGTAAATGCTGCAAAAAACGTCATAAATTGTGGTTACGTGGCGATTTGACACTACAAATGGCCACAAATGCACACAAAATGAGATTACATGGCCAGTGGAGTTAATTTAAAATCCAAGTTGTAAGTACAGGCAGTCCTCAACTTATAACGTTTCATTTAGTGACTGTCCGAAGTTACAACGGCATTAAAAAAGTAACTTAAGACCTTGTTTCACACTTACCACTGTTATAGCATCCTCATGGTCATGTGATCAAAATTCAGATGTTTCCATCTGAATTGACTCATACTTATGACGGCTGCAGTGTTCCGGGGTCACGTGATTCGTACTTAGGACGGCTGCAGTGTTCCGGGGGGGAGGGGAGGTCACGTGATTCCCCTTTTTGCGACCTTCTGACCAGCAATGGACGAAGTCCAGATTCGCTAAACAAACCGTGCGACTGACTCGACCACCGCAGCAATTTCACTTAACAACGGTGGCGGGGTAGGTCGTATAAAAGGACGCAAAGCTCACTTGCTTAGCCACAGAAATTTGGGGCCTCCGTTGCAGGGAGGGAGTAGGAGGATTCCCTGCGTCTTTCTTCGGGTCCGTCGTAAGTTTGAACAGTTGCTAAAAGAATGGTCGTAATTCGAGGACTACCCATCAGGAAACTGTTGGCTTAGATCAAACTTGGCAGCTTTAAGACTTGTGGACTTCAACTCCCAGAATTCTCCAGCCAGCTTTGCTGGCTGGAGAATTCTGGGAGTTGAAGTCCACAAGTCTTAAAGCTGCCAAGTTTGAAGACTTCTCGTTTAGATCCTGAAAATGGAAGTGGGGGGTAAAATGTCCCCCCCATTTGCACCCATAGCAGAGCCCAGCCTGGGGTGGGGGGGGCTGTATCTGTGCTGACTTGTTCCTGGGAGTGTACAGTTGGCAGGGGAAATTCGGGTTCGAGGTGCCCGAGGCCTGCGTGGGAAGGCGAAAAAAAAGAGCGAGCCAAGCCGTAGCAAAGTTTCACCTTCTCGAACTCGGTTCTTCTGGATGGGGTGCAGCAGATCGAAGAAAATTGTGGGGTGGGGGGGGGGTTCTGCTTCAAGGGACTTGCAGCCTTAAGTTAACTTAACTTAAGTTAAGTTAAACACCCCGAGAACAGTTGCGGAATTAGTTTATGCATTAGTTTAGGTATGTCTTAGTTTAATGTCTTAGTAATAATTTTAATTAGCAATTTTATGATGTTTGTGTGTCTATATTTTTCTTGACTGTACACCGCCTTGAGTCCTACGGGAGAAAGGCGGTATAGAAATATAATAAATAAATAAACAAATAAATAAATAAAAATAAATAAATAAAGAAAGAAAGAAAGAAAAAGAAAGAAAGAAGAAAGAAAGAAAGAAAGAAAGAAAGAAAGAAAGAAAGAAAGAAGGACTTTGGGGGGATATGAGAGCAGTGTTCAAATATTTGAGGGGCTGCCCCAAAGAGGAATTGGGGGGTGGGTGGGTGAACCTATTCTCCAAACCAGCTAAAAGTAGGACAAGAAGCAACGGGTGGAAAGTAATCAAGGAAAGATCCAACCTAGAATTAAAGAGAAATTTGCTAACAGTGAGAACAATTAACCAGTGGAACAGCTGGCCACTAGAAGTTGTGGGGGTGCTCAAACAACTGAAGGTTTTTAAGAAGAGATTGGACAGCCACTTGGTCTAAACTTAGACCATTTCAATCAATCAATCAATCAATCAATTAAAAAAAATCAATCAATCAGAATAGAGCTGGAAAAGGAACCCTGGAGATCATATAGTCCAACCCCAGGAGATATTTGCCGGTCCGTTTGTAGCTTCCCACAGTCACTTGACGGCAATTAATTCCTGCCAAAAATCCATTTTCGGCAAACATTGACCCTTAGCGATCCATAGGTTGGCTTAACAACAGCACTGTTCGCTTAACGACGGTGGCGATCCATTTAACGACCGCACGCACAAAAAAAGTCACAAAAAAGCGGGGAAGACGAGGACTAAGCTGTAAGTGCGGATCCTAGTCAGATTTTTGAGCGCTGTTGTAACTCCGAATCGCCGTTTCACCAAACGGTCCTAAGTCGAGGAGTGCCGGTACTCGTCTCTCTCTCTCCCGTGAATCGAGGCAGGACGTGAATTTGGCAAGGAAATAAATTTGAGCTTTGCAACCACCTACAAATTATGTACAAAACCCAGGCCGATAAATTATACCTTTTCTTTTCAAAGTGTGTGACACACACACAAAGCTGTGATTCAACCTTTTTGTCATCTGGTGCCACAAAGACACAATTGCATTTGGCTCCCGACATCTGTCCCATTTAAAAGCCACCTGCTGGAGTTTGCGGCGGAGGTGAAATTCGAACCCAAGATTCTCCCAGATTACAATGTCCCTGTGCTACTTCCGGGCCTCACCCACCTACGCGGACGTTACAAAGGAAACCCGATCTGACCCAAAGAATTCGGGTCTACAGGTAGTCCTCAAACTTACGACCGCAACGGATCCCGAAATTCCTGTTGCTAAGTGAGACGCTCGTTAAGTGAGTTTGGCCGCTTTTCTTGCCACAAGGATCCGTTAAGTGAATCGCTCCGGTTGATAAGCGAGTCACCAGGTTGTGAAGTGAAATCCGGCTTTCCCCCATTGGCTTGGCTTGTGAGAAGGTCGCAAAAGGGGATCGCGGGACGGTCATAAATACGAGTCGTAAATGGCCAAGCGTCCAGATTTTGATCACACGACCGTGTGGGGATGCTGCAACGGTCGTAAGTGTGAAAAACGGTCGTAAGTCCTTTTTCAGTGCCGCTGTAACTTTGAACTAAACGAACCATTGTTAATCGAGGATGACCTGTCCCGCTGATCTAGACACAGGCATGATTGCTTTGAAACAAAACGATACCAAACACGAAGCAATGTGCTTCCAAAGGATTAGGTTCGTAACGTTTAAACCAATTCCTCCGTGCAAGGGATTTGGGGTTTTTTGTTTGTTTTCAGTTCATCCCCGTTTTGATTTCTGGGAATAAAAATACACTGGTTGTGAAATGCGAGCGGAATGTGGTGCCTCATTGTGGTTGCTCATTGGCAGGCATCAAATCAAATATGGGCAAAGGATAAGTTATTATTACAGCATAAAAGAGTCGTCGTACATTCTCAGCCCATATTTCCCCGAAAGCATTTTTCTCCTTTAACTTATGATCCTCCTAAATGGGCAGAGCATATCCTTGGCAATGCCTGCTAAGATTTTCAAAGTTTTAAGTTCAACTCTCTCTCCTTTCTGGAGAGGAAAAAGTGCTATCTGTGTCATTGTGTGGCACTGTGTCTTCTTCATTTCTATCATATCTCAAGACCTAAAATGGACACCCAACATCAAAAACATCATCAAAAAAGCACAACAAAGATTGTTCTTTCTGCACTAACTCAGGAAGCTCAAACTGCCCAAGGAGCTGCTGATAACAGTTCTACAGAGGAATTATTGAGTCTGTCATCTGCACCTCTATAACTGTCTGGTTTGGCTCTGCAACCCAACAAGACAGACACAGACTTCAGAGGATAATTAGAACTGCAGAAAAAACAAACCAACCTGCCTTCCATTGAGGACCTGTATATTGCACAAGTCAAAAGAGGGTTGTGAAAATATCTACAGACCCCTCACATCCTGCACATAAACTGTTTCAACTCCTACCCTCAAAATGACGCTATAGAGCACTGTAACACCAGAACAACTAGACACAAAAACAATTTTTTCCCGAACGCCATCACTCTGCTAAACAAATAATTCCCTCAACACTGTCAAGCTATTCACTAAGACTGCATTACTATTACTATTAGTCTTCTCATCGTTCCTATCACCCATCTCCTCCCACTTGTGACTGCATGACTGTAACTTTATTGCTTGTATTCTTATGATTTATATTCATATTGTTTCTTAGTATGATTTTATTGCTTATTTGTACCATATGACTGTCACTGGGTGTTGTGCCTTGTGATTCTTGATGAGTGTATCTTGTCTTTTTATGTATGCTGAGAGCCTATGCACCAAAGACAAATTCCTTGTGTGTTCAATCACACTTGGCCAATGAAGAATTCTATTCTATTCTATTTTATACAGGCACAAGGGTCTCATATTTGAAGCCTTAAATACTTTCTCATCTGTCCTGGCCTGTAAGATTAATTTCCTTCCATTAGCAACAGCAGGAACTGCTGATAACATGGTGTAGATCATTGAACTGATTAGGTGTATCTTATCCAGAAAGAAAAAAAACTTCTTGCTTCTTAATCAGGAGAAAGCAACCTGTTTCAGTATACAATAAATTCAGCCAGGGTGACTTTCAATTATACATAATGGACAAGGGGCTGGATCTGGAGGCAAGAGTGCTCCAAATTAGAACTGGAATAAAACCAGTTTGTCTCTATTTCCATCTACAAAATGCTGCAAAATGGGATATTTTCAGAAGCTACCGTATTTTTCGGAGTATAAGACACTCCAGACTATAAGACACCCTATCTTTTTTGGAGAGGAAAACAAGAAAAAAAATCTGCCTCTGCCTCCCAGCAATTTGCCTCCTTGAAGCAAACAGCCTGCTTTAGTTTCATTTTCATTTTCAGCACAGCCTAATTAGCACAAGAAAAAAAAAATCTGCCTCTGCCTCCCAGCAATCTGCCTCCTTGCAGCAAACAGCGGAGGTCTGCATGGCAATAGGCAATGGCAATCCTTGCATCCTGAAACATCTGAGGATTAGGAGGTCGATCCAACCGACAATCAACGCTTGTGCTAATCAGGCTGTGCTGAAGCTGAAAAGGGCTGTTGTCTTCCTTCCTTCCTTCCTTCCTTCCTTCCTTCCCTCTCTCCTTCCTTCCTTCCTTCTTTCCTTCCTTCCTTCCTTCATTCGTTCCCTCCCTCCCTCCCTCCTTCCTTCCTTCCCTCCCTCCCTCCCTCCTTCCTTCTTTCCTTCCTTCCTTCCTTCCTTCCTTCCTTCCTTCCTTCCTTCCTTCTTCCCCCCTCCCTCCTCCTTCCTTCCTTCCTTCCTTCCTTCCTTCCTTCCTCTTTTATTCCTATTCTTCCTTCCGGAACCTTTGTCTCAATATCCTCCCTTCCCTTACCCTGGTGTGTTTGTGTGCATGTTTACATGCACGTGTCCAGAATCTGTCTTTGGTCTCCGCTGCAGCTGTTGGTGTTTTCTGTGCAAGTCCCTTTTGCACCCCCTCCGAGAGACCCTTCCTCCTTTGAGAGACCACCCTCAGCTCCCCCTCTGCCTTAGACTTGCTCTCTCTCTCTTTCTCTTTGGAAAATTATGAGAAAAGGACCAAGCCAGGAAAAACTGCCTCAATCCCCCAGTTGGGGCTGGCTCCCTCAATGTCCCCCCCCTGTTTGGGGCAACCCCCCTTTGTCCTCTGTCATGGGGGGGCTTCCTTTAGGGGGTCCCCCCGTTGCCGTGCTGGCCTCAGCTGACTTTTTCCTTTTTACAGGAGCTGAAAGTCAAAGGAACTCACAGTTTTGTCACCATGGAAGGTAAACAGCTTCTGATGTCCTCTTTGGGGGGTGGGGGGGGTGGGAGGTGGGGAAAGGGTTGTATTTTGGGGTGTCGGGGGGGTTGTCTCTCCATCCTTTGTCTGCCTGGTCTTTTGGGGTGCCCGAAATGAACGAGACTGCTGGTTGCACAAGCGTCCCTTTACTAGTGTCCATGAAAAGAGAAAGAGAGAGAGAGAGAGAGACGGAGAGAGAGAAAAAGAGGAGGGGGCTTCCCTGTTTGGCATGCTGGCGGCGTCAGGCAGCCCCTCACTCCTCCTCTCCCTTCCCTTCCTCTTTCTCTCGCTCTCGCTCTCCCACCTCTGAAGCCAACGGACCCCCGATATCACTATGGTGCCATGGAGATTCTTCTCATCGTCCGCTTTTGCTGTAACTGCACCTACGGTGGGTAGGGGGGCTTCTGACGGTGACCCCTTCCCCTATCTCCCCCCCATACCTCTCCTTCTCCCCTATGAGACGCTGTTGGACTGGACAGGGAGGGAGGGAGGGGGGTCTCCTTAGCAGGAGGACATCCCTTCTCAAGGGGGCTTGGCTTGCCAAGGCTGCTGGTTGTTTTTGACCCCTTCCCCAAAACTCCCCCAGCGGGCGTGGGGTGGTGGAGGAGGCTTTGTCTTTGCAATATCAAAGGGACGGGGGGGGGGGAGAAAAAAAATGAGGAAGGGGCTTCTTTCTTTTCTCCTGCTCACCTGGATTTCCAACTTGGCGGTTTTCTTTGTTCTTCCAAATTTCAAATTGGGGTGGTCTCGTCACGGGGCGTTCCTAAGCAGGATTTGGGGGTTCCTGGGGGCGGTGGTAGTGGGGTTTGAAGAGGTTGGGGGGGTTCGGCCAGTGGTTGGTAAATCGGGGAGGGGTCCGAGGGTCTCCTTCCCCAGCAGTTACATCATTCAAGCCAGCCCTTGACAATGCCTGGATGGAGAAAAAGGGGGTGTGTCCCTCTCCTGTTTGTTCCTTTCTCTTGCTCCGTTTGGGGTCTTGTTGATGAATTGGGGAGGGGGCGGAATTCCTGTCCCCCTTGTCTCCTTCAAGGTTGGGGACCCATAACCGTGACGATGACATTGGGGAGTTGGGGGGTGTCTTGGCAGCGGTCCAAGCAATGCAAGACGCTGCTTTGTTTGAAAACGGCGGGTGATTTGAGGAGGGGGGGGGTCCCTGGTTTAGTTCACTGGGATTTTGCAGCCGGACCGAGCATTGCCCCCTCCCCCAAGTCGTAGCGGTGGAATTTGGGGGCTCCCAGGCTCGGTAGCATCCTTTTCCTTCCATTTCGTCTATGGGGAGGGGGAGGGGGGGGCTCAGCTCCAGGTGGGGAAGATGCTTGCAAAAGGAATTCTGGGAGTTGAAGTCCACCTCTCATAAAGCATGCTGGCTGGGGGATTCTGGGAGTGGAAGTCCATGCATTTTAAAATATGCAGGATGGGGAATTCTGGGAGTGGAAGTCCATGCATTTTAAAACATGCAGGATGGGGAATTCTGGGAGTGGAAGTCCATCCATCTTAAAGCATTACTAGCTGGGGAATTCTGGGAGTGGAAGTCCACTCATTTTAAAACAGGCAGGATGGGGAATTCTGGGAGTGGAAGTCCATCCCTCTTAAAGCATTACTAGCTGGGGAATTCTGGGATTGGAAGTCCACTCATTTTAAGGCATTCAGGATGGGGAATTCTGGGACTGGAAGTCCATGTATTTTAAAACATGCAGGAGGGGGAATTCTGGGATTGGAAGTCCACTCATTTTAAGGCATTCAGGATGGGGAATTCTGGGACTGGAAGTCCATGCATTTTAAAATATGCAGGATGGGGAATTCTGGGAGTGGAAGTCCATGCATTTTAAAACATGCAGGATGGGGAATTCTGGGAGTGGAAGTCCATCCATCTTAAAGCATTACTAGCTAGGGAATTCTGGGAGTGGAAGTCCACCCCTCTTAAAGCATCTTTTAACCCTGGCTCCCTTGCCCCTCTTTCTGCTGGGGGTCGGTTCTTGGAGGGGGGAGCGGACACTGGATAATGGGTAGCATGGTCTGCTCCTGGGGGCTGGATTTTCTGGTTTAGCCCATTTCAGGAGCCCTGACTTTTCTCCCAGAAATCCAGAATCTCTCCCAATGGCGAGACGGTTGATGTATAAATTTAAGAAATATTTTTTTCTGTTTCTTTAATTCAGGGTGGGTACGAAGGGAGACTGGAAGTTTTTGCATCTGGTAGAAGTTGTAAACTAGTAGGTGTGCAACTGTGCGAGGCTGTCTTTGGTGTAAACCAGGGTTGTCCCATTGCGGTCACTTTAAGACTTGTGGACTTCAATTCCCAGAATTCTCAAGGACTGCTGTAATTACGAGCAGTCCTCAACATACGACCACAATGGAGCTCCAAATTTCTGTTGCTAAGCGAGACAGGCGTTAAGTGAGTTTTGCCCCATTTTACGCCATTTCCTGCCACGGTTGTTAAGTATAACAGTTAAGTTAGTAACACGGTTATTAAATGAATCTTCCCTGCCCATTGACTTTGCTGGACAGAAGGTCGCCAAAGCGTATCACATGATCCCAGCACCGTCATAAATACAAATCAACTGTCAAGCGTCTGAATTTTGATCACGCATAATGGTCGTAAGAGTGAAGAACAGTCCTAAATCCTCTTTTTAAAGTGCGGTTATAACTTTGAACGGTCACTAAGTGAAACTGTCGTAAGCCGAGGACCGTGTGTACAAGCACAGTAGGAATTGTGGCGGAATGCTCCTTGCTTCGTTTTTCGTCGCTGTTTTAAAATTCCCTTTGGGAAGAGGAGATTTTTTTTTGCAGGCGAAGAAAAGCACGGGAAAATCCCGGATTTTGCTCCACTGACGCCCACGCGGAAATAAAATTAAATGTTTTTGGCTCTCTCCGCCCCTCAGCAAAAGTGGATTCAATTCCAGGAATGATGTAATGGGAAATTTAAAAATAAAGAATGCGATCACCTTTTATAAAGGATTAGGGTAGAGTGGCAGCTTTATTTAAAATCCCACAATGCTTTCCGCATATCGGGTAGCATTCTTGGCCGTCTGCCACGGAGCCAAAATTCAGCCAAAATTTTAAGCGGCCATTAGCAGAAAACTTTCCCAGGCTGGGAATGTGCCTTAAACATTTCTGCAGAAAACCCAGTGCGATTAGTTTTATACAAAAATAAACCAGGGAATGGGCCAAGAAGCAATTTTGTCATATAACCAGTGGTGGGATTCAGCCAGTTCGCACCGATTCGGGAGAACCGGTTGTTAACTTTCTACGCAGTTCGGAGAACCGGTTGTTAGAAGAAATCTTATTTTGTTTTTTTCCACTTTACAGGGCTAATCCTGTAAGGAAGGCAGGAAGGAAACATTCTGGTGGTGTCTCTAGCCTAAGCTTTATTGCCCTGCTTACAGAAACTGCCTCTCTGGTTAACCCTTATTACATTGTAACAGTGAGTGACGTTGAGTTGGCCACGCCAACACGGTCACATGACCACCGAGCCACGTCTACCCAGAGGGTCATTAGGGCAGAGAACCGGTTGTTAAATTATTTGAATCCCACCACTGCATATAACCACAACTTTGGATGAGACCTATAGACCTTCCTTGCCACCGCGAATCACGGAAGTCGTTGAATGAGGAGCAAGGTTGTAAAGTGAATCTTTAGCACAACTTTGGCTGAGCTAGAGACCCGGCTGCAAAGGCTCAATAAATAGAACACAGGGTTCCTTGACTTACGACCACAATGGAGCCCCAAATTTATGTTGCTAAGCGAGACTGTTGTTAAGTGAGCTTTGTTCCATTTTACGACCTTTCTTGCCATGGTTGTTAAAGTGAATCACTGCACTTGTTAAATCAGGAACTAGGTTGTAAAGTGAATCTTTAGCGATTTTCTTGTAGAAGCACAACTTTGCTGAGAGAGAGAGAGAGAGAGAGAGAGACAGAGAGAGAGATTAACAGAGTTGAAAGGGACCTTAATGTAAGAGGTCATCTAGTCCAACCCCCCACACAAGCAGGAGACCCTACATCATCCCTGACAAATGGCAGTTCCAATCTCCCCTTGAAAGCCACAAGTGACCCGGTGTGCAAGGCTCCGTAAATAGAATACAGGGAGATCCTTGACTTACAACCACAACGGAGCCCCAAATTAAGTTGCTAAGCGAGGCCGTTGTTAAGTGAGCTTTGTCCCGTTTTACGACCTTCCTTGCCACACTTGTTAAGCAAATCACCCCAGTTAATTAAATTAGTAACACAAATTGTTAAGTGTATCTGGCTTCCCTCTTGACTCTGCTTGTCAGGAGGTCACCAAAGGGGTTTTAGGTGACCCCGTCATAAATAAGGGGTCAGTTTCCAAGCGTCCGAATTTTGACCACACGGAGATGTTGCCACGGTCGTAACGGTGAAAACCAGGTCTGAATCACTTTTTTTCCATTGTAATTTCGAACAGTCACTAAATGAACGGTCATAAATCAAGGACTAACTATATCCTGACAATTCCGAGGTGGCGCAGTGGTTAGGGTGCAGTACTGCAGCTACTTCAGCTGACTGCTAGTTCAGCAGATCAGCGGATCAAATCTCACGGGCTCAAGGTTGATTCAGCCTTCCATCCTTCCGAGGTGGGTAAAATGAGGACCCAGATTGTTAGGGGGCAATATACTATTTAGTATACTGTCTTTGGTGTAAGCCACCCAGAGTCCTCGGAGAGTGGGCGGCATAGAAATATCAATAATAAATAAATAAAAATAAATAAATTCAAAAATTCAGCCGCTGCAGAGAGCCAACGCGAAGCTGTGGGGTGTTAAAATATTGATCGTATATCCTATATCAATGATGGCTAACCTTTTTACCATCGCGTGCCAAAAGTGGGGGTACACGGAGGGGTCATGCGCGCGTGCCCACACCCGTAATTCAATGCGCCCCACCCTGCACATGCACACGCGACTCCTGTGCTCCCCCCCGCTTCTGGCATGTGATGGCCTGGTGGGCTTGGTAGGCCCTTTTTTCACCCTCAGCAGGCTCTAGAAGCTTTCTTGGAGCCTGGGGAGAACGAAAAGGGCCTTCCCCACACACACACACACGGAGGTCGGAAATGGCCCGTTTCCCCACTTCCGGTGGGACCGGAAGTCCCATTTTTCTCCCTCCCCAGGCTCCAGAGGCTTTCTAGGAGCCTTCCCCACCCCATCTGGAGGCCCTCCGGAGGCCAGAAACAGTCCGTTTGTCGACTTCCAGTGGGCCGGAGGCTTTCTTGGAGCCTGGGGAGAACGAAAATGGCCTTCCCCACCACACACCCGGAGGCCGGAAATGGCCCGTTTCCCCACTTCCGCTGGGACCGGAAGTCCCATTTTTCTTCCTCCCCAGGCTCCAGAAGCTTTCTAGGAGCCTGGGGAGGGCGAAAACAGCCTTCCCCACCCCCTCTGGACGCCCTCCGGAGGCCGGAAACAGCCCGTTTGTCGACTTCCAGCGGGCCTGAAAGGCCCGAAAATCAGCTAGCCGGCGCGCACATGTGCACTAGAGCTGAGCTACGGCAACATTTGTGTGCCCACAGATATGGCTCCGTGTGCCAACTGTGGCACGCGTGCCATAGGTTCGCCATCACGGTCCTATATTAAAAATGAAACTGCTCCAGTGTCAGGTGTGCCTCCTTTCAATACTCAAGAAAGAAAACCCCCACTCCATTTTCATAGAGAAAGGTACTTTTACTGAGTATGAACTGAATGCAACCCTAGAAAAGCAAGATCTGAAGCATAGGCGCAAAAATCACATATAGAAAGCATACCCTTCCCAACTGTCCAGCGTAAATCATCCAATCCACAGGTCCTCCATGTGGGAGCACACGTCTGGCAGTGACATCCTTCTGGTATGAACTGCAGCAAAGATTCACTTTTGTTTTCCTCCAGCACATTTCCCCCACCAAGAATTCCCCCTAGCACCCGCCTCTCCCATTTCCATGGCAGCCGAGCAAGTAAGCATCAAAAGAGCAGAGGCTGACATTCGGCCCCCTTCAGAAGAGGCCTTGTTCCTGTAAGAGATAAAAGGGAGGTAAACAATATACAATATATACACAAATCAAGGTTTATCAGGATATTTGGTGTGAAACAAATATGTAGGAATGAATCGAAAAACTGTTAATTTTTTTGTTATTATTATTATTTCTTTTTTTGGCTTCCTATTTGTTTTGGGGGAGGAAATGGATGTTGTTTCTTTGTGCATGGAAAAATACAGGTAGACCTCAACATACGACCGTTCGCTTAGCGATCGTTCGAAATTATGACAGTGCTGAAAAAGCGTGACTCACTCTATGACCAGTCCTCACTCTTACAACCGGTTCAGTATCCGGCCATCCATGATAGGGGCAATTGGCCACTGGCATGTACTTATGACGGGTTGGGGCATCCTGGGGTCGTGCAATCCCATTTTACAACCTTCCCAGCTGGACATCTGACAAGTGTAGTCCATGGTGGAAGCCAAATTCGCTTAGTGACTGTGATTTGCTTAATGACTGCAGGGATTCGCTTAACAACCTGACCAAAAAAAAAAAACCCGTCAAAAAATCACTCACTCACTTCCTGCTTGGGTCGGGGGTTGGACTAGATGACCTATAAGGTCCCTTCCAACTCTGTGAATCCGTTAGAACTTAAGCCGCTTGCTTGGCGATGGAAATTCTAGTCCCAATTCTGTCGTAAGTGGAGGACTACCTATTTATCATTTTTAATGCGGTTAAAGAGTGAGGGGATTTGCTATGAATAAGGATTTGGACTAAATCTTAACAACTTTAACTTTTTCAGAACTTTTGATTTCTTTCTCTATTCCGCCTCCTGATACATTTTTTTTAATTCTAACTATTTTTCTCCCTTCCCTTCATTTATAGCGTTGCTGTATAAGCCTATAAACCGAGTTGCTCGAAGCACCAATGTGTTACAAGTGAGTAAAACCCCACAGGGAATTGGGAGGAGTGGCGGGAGGAAGAAGTCTCCCCAGCTCTTTCTGATAATGGAAGGGTGTGTGGCACATTTAATTCAGAATTGAGCTGGGAGGGACCTTAGAGGTCCTCTAGTCCAACCCTCTGCAGGAGACCCTGTACAATTTGAGACAAATGGCTGCCCAGTCTCTTCTTGAAAACCTCCAGTGATGGAGCAGCACCCACGACTTCTGGTGGCAAGCAGTTCCACTGGTTAATTGTCCTCACTGTTAGGGAGTTTCTCCTTAATTCCAGGTTGCTTCTCTCCTGATTAGTTTCCATCTGTTGTTTCTTGTCCTGCCTTTTGATGCTTTGGAGAATGATTTTAAATGCATTGTGAGCTGCCCTGAGTCTTCGGAGAGGGGCGGCATGCAAATTGAATTAATAAATAATAATAAATAAATAGGTTGAACTGCTTCTTCTTTGAGGCAGCCCCTCAAATACTGGAAGATGCTATCATGCCTCCCCTGGTCCTTCTCTTCACTAGACTGGCCAAACCCCAATCCTGCAACCATTCTTCCTATGTTTTAGTCTCCAGGCCTTTAAATCATCTTAGTTGCTCTTCTCTGCACTTTTTCCAAAGTCTCAACATCCATTTTTATAATGTGGTGACCAAAACTGGATGCAGAATTCCAGGTGTGGCTTTATTAAGGCTTTATAAAGCGGTGCTAATACTTCACCTGATTTTGACGCTATGCCTCTATTTATACAAACCAGGATCGTATTAGCTTTTTTGGCTGCTGCCGCACACGCCTGGCTCGTGTTTAAGGGATCGTCCACTAGGACTCCAAAGTCCCTCTCAAGTTACTGTTTTTTGAGCCAGGTTTCGCCTAATCTGCATTTGTGCCTTTGCTTTTTCCTTGCCCAGGTGTAAAACTGGTTTTCTCCACATTGAATTTCATGTTTTTCGATAGGACCCGTTGTTCAAGTCTGTCGAGATCCTTCTCCTTCCTCAATTTCCTTCCAAAATATAGTGCTCAAAAAAAAATAAAGGGAACACAAGCCGAAGACATCCGAGATCTGAATGAATGAAATAGCCTGATTAAATACTTTGTTCTTTACATACAGTAGTTTATACTCTGCTCAAACAATTAAAGAGAACACAAAACTACTGTATGTAACGAATAAAGTATTTAATAAGGCTATTTCATTCGTTCAGATCTCGGATGTCTTCTGGTTGTTTTAGTTTGGTTTTATTAAATTTGTATACCGCCCTACTCTCGAAGGACTCAGGGCGGTGAGTCCTGTATTCCCTTTATTTATTTTTTTGAGCAGTGTATATATATATATATGGTGCAAAAAGTAAGGTTCTTTTATATTTAGGCAAGAAAAGCAAAATGCGCAGGTACAGTATAGGTGGTACCTTGCTCAATAGTAGTAACTGTGAGAGGGATCTTGGAGTCCTACTGGACAATCACTTAAATATGAGCCAGCTGTGTGATGCAGCAGCCAAAAAAGCCAACACAGTTCTAGGCTGCATCAACAGAGGGAGAGAATCAAGATCACGTGAAGTGTTAATGCTGCTTTATAAGGCCTTGGTAAGGCCACACGTGGTATATTGCATCCAGTTTTGGTCGCCACGATGTAAAAAAGATGTTGAGACTCTAGAAAGAGTGCAGAGAAGAGCAACAAAGAGGATTAGGGGACTGGAGGCTAAAACGTATGAAGAACCGATGCAGGAACTGGGAATGCCTACTCTGATGAAAAGAAGGAGTAGGGGAGACATGATAGCAGTCTTCCAGTATCTCAGGGGCTGCCACAAAGAAGAGGGAGTCAAGCTATTCTCCAAAGCACCTGAAGGCAGGAGAAGAAGCAACGGGTGGAAACTTAATCAAGGAGAGAAGCAACTTAGAACTAAGGAGAAATTTCCTGACACTGAGAACAATTAATCCATGGAACAACTTGCCTCCAGAAGTTGTGAATGCTCCAACACTGGAAGTTTTTAAGAAGAGGTTGGACAACCATTTGTCCGAAGTGGTGTAGGGTTTCCTGCCTACACAGGGGGTTGGACTAGAAGACCTCCAAGGTCCCTTCCAACCCTGTTATTCTATTTCTATATTTAATTTATACATACAGAGATACAAACAAACTTGCTGTGATTGGATCTTTATCAAACCGGGCACCGGGCATAGTTGTGTATTTTCTTTCTATTTTTTTTTTTTAAGAAAAGGAAAATTAGAAATAAAGTTATCCATAGGCCATTGCAACTAAACGTTGCACTGCCAAGAGCTTCCAGCTTGCCAGCCAGTCTATCCTGCCCTTTGCCAGGTGACTCCATTCCGTTCTGTTTTTCACCCCGCTGATTATTTTCATTCTGGACCTTTCCGTTCTTTTTTTTTTTACTGGGCTCTTTAGGCTTGGTCCTGACATTTCTCAACCAAAGCGACTTAAAGATGGGCGGACTTCAACTCCCAGAATCCCTCCTGCTGGCTGGGGAATTCTGGGAGTTGAAGTCCACCCATCTTCAAGGTTGAGAAACATTGATCTGTCCCTACAATACTTGCATTTTTTTTTTGCAAGTTTTTCCCCTCGATTTTTAAAAATGCAAATCTTTTCCCTAGTTCTTTTTTGGAATGGAGGGAACTGTTTGGGAAACGAGGCTCAGCTGAGAAATTTTTTGGGGGGGGTGGGGGAAAGTGCTTAAAAGATCCCCTAAAAAGTTTGTGTGTTTTGTTGCACCAATTTTGCAGATGAGGAAATGGAAATTGGGCAGGTGACCATTTTGCAACTAAAGTTTCTCCAGCCGAGGAATCCCAGAATGCCCTACCAACCTGCCCCAGAGAATTCTGGGAGCTAAACTCCTGCTGGATCACTTTTTTTTTTTTAAATTTGATTTATATGCCGCCCTTCTCCGGAGACTCAGGACGGCTTACAATGTGCTCAGCAATAGCCTTCATCCTTTTGTATATTTATACAAAGTCAGCTTATTGCCCCCACAAACTGGGTCAATTTACCTACCTTAGAAAGGATGGAAGGCTGAGTCAACCTTGAGCCTGGCGAGATTCGAACCTGCAGTAATTGCAGACAGCTATGTTAATAACAGGGTGCTTTAAACCACTGTATTACCAAGGCTTGGGGGACACCTACGTCGTCCAGTGGCTCCTGATAAAAATGGGGCACCCCCTTTTTTTAGATTTAATTTATACGGAGGACAATCAGTGTGTTGCTATCTTCAAATTTAGAAACTTCGGATGATGTTTTATAATAGGCTTACAGACGGTCCTCCTCGACTTACGACCGCAATTGGATGAGAACATCCATCGCTAAGCAATACGGCCATTAAATGAGTCATCCGTGGCCAGTCCTGATTTTCACGACCTTTTTTTGGCTGCAGTCGTTAAGTGAATCAACTGCGGTTCTTAACTGAATCAGGCGGTCATTAAATGAAGGGCTTCCCTCATTGACTTTGCTCGTCGGAAGGTCGCAAAACGTGACCCCGGGACACTACCACCGTCATAAGTGTGAGACAAGCATCCAAATTTTGATCTTGTGCCCCCAAGAGAGTGTGACTGTGATAAATATGAATCAGGGGTATTTTAAATTTGTGGGGTTTTAAATTGAGCCAAATTTATTTAATTATTTTAAATTTTTAATCGATGTTTTGTCTTGTGTTTTTAAATAGGCTGTACACTGCCCTGAGTTCTTCGGGAGAAGGGCGGTATAGAAATAAAATTATTATTATTATTATTAGTTGTCAAGCATGCGAATATAAATCACGGGGATGATGCAATGGTCGTAAGTGCGAGGACTGGTCGTAAGTCACTTTTTGCAGGGCTGGCTGTCTTAACTTCAGACAGTCGCTAAATGAATAGTCGTAAGTCGAGGACTATGTGGGAAGCTGACTTTGGCATCAAGGATCTGACCACATTTGATTTTTTTTAAAAAATTCTCTTTTTTGGGATCCCAGGATCTGTTGAAGCACACGCCGACCGATCACCCAGATTACCCACTGCTCCAGGACGCCCTTCGGATTTCCCAGAATTTCCTCTCCAGCATCAATGAGGACATCGATCCTCGCAGAACGGCCGTCACTACCCCGAAAGGAGAGGCAAGTAGGCCATTGTGCTGGGGTGATATTGGACGTGGGACGTTTTGGGGGGGGAGCGGCTCCCTTAAAAAAGACGGACACTCTGTGTGGACCAACGTAGGACCCCAAAAACAGTCAGCAAAGGAATCCGGCCAAACAGATTCCTCCCTAGGTGGAGATTGCCAAGGTTCCAAGATAGACTGCCCCTGTGCCTGGAGGCTCCGTTAGAGTTAAGAAACCCATTCACGCAATCAGGATGAGTGCAGTGCCTCGAGGAGGGGACGGCTAGGGTAGGGTAGGATTCTGAGGCTGTGTTTTGAGACTTTTATTTGAGACAATTATTGATTTATGATTCATCCATTAATTCGAGTCTGGGCGTCTTATAGCATCAGTTACTGTAAGTTAAGATGGGCGGCGTCTAAATTTTTTCTTATTTATATGTATTACAGTCTGACTATATATCTATTTTTCTATATTTCTCTCTCCCTCTCTCTTTTTCTCTCTTATCTATTTGTCTATATCTTTTTCTCTGTCTATCTATTTTTCTATATTTCTCTCTCTATATATATATCTTTCTCTGTCTATTTTTCTATCTGTATCTCTCTCTCTAGTTACATTGTATATAAAATGTATATATTTTTATATTTAAAAATTATAAAAATTATCAGTGGCCCATCTTACCTCAAGGTAACTGTATATATTGATTTATTTCTGATGATTTTAAAGCATATATATCTGTATGTCTATGTCTATCTATGTCTCTATCTATCTATCTATCTATCTATCTATCTCATCTTTCTATCTCTCTCTCTCACTTGCTCTTTCTCTCTCTCTCTCTCTCTGTCTATCTCTGTCTCTATCTGTCTATCTTTCTATATTTATTTCTCTCTCTCTGTCTCTGTCTGTCTCTATTCTCTCTCTCTCTCTCTCTACCTCTCTATATCTATCTATCTGTCTGTCTGTCTGTCTGTCTGTCTCTATCTCTCTATCTCTATCTATCTATCTATCTGTCTCTCTCTATATCTATCTATCTATTATCTCTCTCTCTCTTCTCTCTCTCTCTCCTCCCTCCCTATCTCTCTCTTCTCTCTCTTTTTCTCTCCCTCCCTCCCTCTCCCTCTCTCTCTCTCTTCTCTCTCTCTCTCTCTCTCCCTCCCCCCTCTCTCTCTGTGCTTTATAATAATCAGAAATAAACCAGTTACCTTCAGGTAAGACGGATGGCCTGTAAATTGAATGAATGAATGCATTAAAACTGTCAGAAATAAATATCCCTAACCCAACCAAATGATAATGCAATGAAAGGGGAAAAAATCATGTTTTTACAATGAGCGGTTTGTAAATTTTTTTTTAACATTGGAGTTTTTTTGGATTGTTGTACGCTGCTCAGAGACACTTCGAAACAAAATGGACGTCTGTGTAAATTCAATCGATCAATTGACCGATTGATTATATATTTAGGAAATGAATTTGATGGCTGAAGCAACCTCTCCGTTACTGGTTGAAGTAGGATTCGGTGCCTTTTTGTGACTCAACCTAGAATTAAATCCCTTTTTCCATGGCAGGACAGGGTGATCCTTCTACCCATCCAGGGGTGGGCTTCAAAAATTTTAGCAAGGGGTTCTCTGCCTGGTTGCTGGGTGGGCGTGGCCATGGTGGGTGCGGCCTAACCGGCCTCCTGCACCATGGTCGGGGGGCGTTTTTGCCCTCCCCAGGCTCCGGAGGCTTTTCTTGAGCCTCCGGGAGGGTGAAAACGGCCTCCCCAGGCTCCAGTGGCCCTCTGGAGGCCAGAAACAGGTTCTGGCCTTCCCGAACTTCCAGTAGGCCCGTTTTTCGCCCTCCCGGAGTCTCCGCGCATCCTGCACTTACCTGCCTCCAAAACAGGCCGCGTGGGGACTCCTGGGAGGGGCGGGGTGGGGTAGGCGGGGCCAGCCAGGAGTAGGATATGGGGGTTCTCCAAACTGCACAGAACCTTAGCTAGAGGTTCTGCCGAACCCCTGCGAACCCCCAGCAGCCCACTCCTGCACCGATCCTTGGCATTCAGATGTCCCCTCTTTTGCATTGCCACTCAGCATGCTGTCCTAAACAGGCCCTATCCTGCCCTATATATAAAAAGCCACAGGACCTTTTAACCGTTTTTCCTCCTTTGCAGAACCGCCAGCTGGTCAAAGATGGCTTCTTGGTGGAAGTTGCCGAAGGGTCTCGCAAGCTGCGCCACGTTTTCCTTTTCACGGACGTTTTGCTCTGCGCCAAGTTGAAGAAAACGGGCGTCGGGTGAGACTCGGGGTGGAACGGGAGCCCGTAGGAGATGGGCTGCGAAGCAGGCGTGAATAGATTGGAATGGGATAGAATCCGAACAGGACAGGACAGAATTAGAACAGAACAGAACAGAACAGAATTTTCTTGGCAACCATATGGAAGTGGGCCCTCTGGGATCTCCTGGTGGTCTCCCATCCATGATCTATTTGCTGGATTGTCCTAGGTCAGTGATGGCTAACCTTTTTGGGGGGGAGTGCATGTGTGCCCACACCCATAATTCAATTCCCCCCCCTGCGCCTTGCCCCCCCAAGTACGTGTGCACGACTCCCCCGCGCGATCCCCGCTTTTGGCATGCGACGGCAAAAAGGTTACCGGTGGGCCTGTTAGGCCTGTTTTTTTTTTGCCCTCCCAGGCTCCAAAGGCTTTTTTGGAGCCTGGGGAGGGTGAAAACAGCCTTCCCCATCCCCCGGAGGTCCTCTGGAGGCCGGAAATGGCCCGTTTCCCGACTTCTGGTGGGCCCGGAAGGCCCGAAAATCAGCTGGCCGGCACGCTGGAGCTGAGCTAGGGCAATGCTCACATGCCCACAGATATGGCTTCGCGTGCCATAGGGTCACCATCACAGTTCTAGGTCCTTCCTGGGCTGGGCCAGAGCGTTCTAGAGTCAGTTCAGGCTAAGGTCAGGGGTCTCTCTGTGCAGGAAACACCAGCAGTACGAGTGCAAGTGGTACATCCCTTTGGCGGAGCTGGTCTTCCCGTCCTTGGAAGAGTCCGACTTGTGTCCGCACGTCCAGGCCATGCCGGACCACGACCTGGAAGACATGAAAATCAAGATCTCCTCGATGAAGAGCGAAGTGCAGAAGGAGGTCAGTCGAGGGCAGGCGGGTTGCTTCGCCCAACTTAACAGAGAAAGGTGCTGGGGAGTCCTCGAACTTACGGCCATTCGTTTAGCGACCGCTCAAAGTCACAACGGCGCTGAAACAAAAAAGGAACTCGTCGGTCCTCACGCTTGCAACCATCACCGCATTCCCACGGGCACGTGATCAAAATTCAGGCCCTTGGCAACCGGCTCGTACAGGTAGTCCTCGATTTACGACAGTTCATTCAGTGACCGTTTGAACTTACAACGGCACTGAAAAATAGTGACTTAGGACCGTTTTTCACACTTTCAACCTGTCAGCTTGCAAAGCTTTCAAGTTGCCACGAGCAGGAGGGAAGGAGAACTGATAGAGTTGATTGATTTTCCTAACTGAAGCTGCATTCCACAGATGCTTTCTTACCCCAATCAGTCGGAGGGTGTTAGGTTACACAGCCAGCCAAAGTGGTGAATTGGAGAATGTGATTTATGACATGGCCAGGGAGCAGGATTAGGGTTAGGGTTAGGGTTAGGGTCAGAGTTCAACCTTTCACACTTTCAACCTTTGTAGTAGCCCCATAGTCACG